GAGGGACATGATTCTATCGTTTAAAGTAAACTTCTGTCTATGGCTGACATGGTATTTACTTAGGGTCTAGATTGTTGAAGGGAAAACAAACGTTTGCCGAATAGCTCCAGGCACTTCCGTTCCAAGACAAAGGGAGATCAGTCCATTATCCTATTCCCCGTTGCGTGAAGAATTCAGAGGCGGGATTCAGCCCGCGTATCATTTAGTGACCATGGAGAGGAAGTCAGAGTTGCCACTGAAACATATCTTCAAAGTGCAGCCCTTGTTCCAGACCATGTTTTACTTCCTAAGTTAATGTAGGTTCACCTCTTTGCTGCCTGCAACACAGAGGGCATAGATGTAGGTACTGTCCTTCTAGAAAAGTGGTATTTTCGAACTCTCTCTAACTTTGTCGTACGATGTTACACTTTCTCAAGACATATTTTGTCTTTTGCTTGCAACGGTCGCCACATCTGTACGCCGCATTCTAGGTGAGGCCGAACGAAGGTGCCTTAGACTTGATTAAATACGGTCTTTTTAAATCGTGCAGTACGCCCAGGACGATTGTGCCGCCTTAATGCACTGCGATAGTGGTTTCATACTTTCCTGTATTGTCTTGCGATATCCTTCAGCAAGGAAGAAATGAGATATCTTTCGGGTTGAATGCATATGGAGTACGACACACTTTTACATATTGAAGTGCAGGAAGTATCTATCAGATCCCGTTCTCAATCAGTGGAGGTTATTTAGAAGGGCTTCCTGCCAGAGCGTACCGCCATCGTCAAACATGATCTTACCGCAGTCCAGTTCCTGAAGACCGTCATATGGGATGAAGAATAAGAGCCCGAGAATGGAGCCCTGAGGAACGACACTTATCACTTTACCCCGGTCTGAGTTATCCTCTGTGAAACAGACGTGTTGCTTTCGACCAATTAGAAGTGTCTTTATGCAGTTCAGAAGCTTCCGTTGATACCAAGGACGTCCGGTTTATCTAAAAGGCGTTGATGGGGTACGCTGTCGAAGACTTGGCGGAAATCAATGTACACAAAATCTACAGTAGATTACATATCTGATGAAAGGTTTGGGATTGGGCAATTTAACACAAATTTGAGGTTGTTTATGAAGTTCATTGGGTTGGCTTGAAGCGCAAAATTCTGTTTACTAGTATTGAATTCCGTTCAGGTCAATATACTGGGAGAAAATAGAGGCGAAAATAAGCGAGATCCAGCGTTTGTTGATATCCGGGGAATTTCCTACGCTATCAAACGCTGCCGAAAAGAACTTAAGTATGCATGTTGCACTATAAAAGAACATTCATGAAGAGCAGCAACTTTTTAATTATATCTGGTCACAAAACGGAAAGTTTTGTTTTGCATCCGGGAATTGAGGTTAGTGTAACTATGAGATAGCGCATTATTTTTGGGAAAAGGAGAGCGAAATTAATTTACAAAATTCTAATTTGCAAATCTGCCAAATTTTGTGCCATGAAATTGGGTAATAAACGTTTAAGGCTTTTACGTGCTATACCCCAATTAAAAATGTATATTGTATATTTGAAGGGTTGCA